GGGCATACTCAGTACGTGTCCAAGCATCGTAATGTCGTCTCCAGCAGCTCCACCGGCTGGGATGCAACTTTCCAGGTAGGCAAAACTCCGTAACCTCCAGTGTCTCACTATCAAGAGTAAGTGCAGGTACAGGCATCTGAAAGTCTTGGAAAGGAGCTTTGCGCTTGGATGGGGAAAAAGACATTCCAAACTTCGACGTCTCAGTCGCCTGGCAGCTAAGTGTAAGTTGGACGGTCTGTAAACCGTCATCCAGCAAGACGATATCATCAGCGTAGTCCAAGTCAACAACTCGGCTATCTGGGAGAATCTTAGCACCAACGCTCAACGAATCATCCAGAGCATTTTTGAGGACATTCTCAGTGGCAAAATTTAAAAGGAATGGAGAGATAGGCATCCTTGTCGAACTCCACTCGTGACAACAAAGGAACTCGACAGCTTGTCATAAGACCTAACTCTACCCGTGGTCAGACTGTACGTAGTACTCAATACGGAAACTAGTTTCCCGGAGACGCCATTCCTCAACCAACAGTGCCACAATGCAGACCTGTCGACAGAATCGAAGGCAGCGCGGCAATTCATGAACACGGCAATCCTTGGCTTTTGGTACACCTAATATTGTGAAGAATCGATTGATGCAGTCGCGGCTAGGGCGAAAGCCAGCCTGTTCTTCACGCTGTGGCGATTCGCGCATTAGAGATAGCATTCGTAGTATGATGGACACCAAAACCTTACAAACGATAACAACCAAGCCGATACTCTCACGCTGCGACTTGAAGTCCGTCGATAACACCAACAAACTGTATCGAAATGGACTGCGCATGCTCTGGGCGCTGAAGTGCAGCTTCTGCACTTGGTCTGAGGACGTCACCACTCGCCTCTTCTCTTCCATCGTCAGACCAATGCTAATGGCTCGCCTGCATACTGTCCGATCACTCACGGCGAAGCGCAAAAGATCGAACGAGTACAACACGTCGCCACCAAGTTGATCCCCAGCTTGAGAGGCTTATCGTATGAAAACCGGTGCATGAAACTTGGGCTCTACACCTTGTCGTATCGCCGTGTTCGAGTGGATGTTATCATGACCTACCGTGTTTTACATCTCGGTTGTTTCCCCATGCTGAGGTCGTTACTCCACTTGCGAGTACCATGCACCACACTTGGGCACAGGTACAAACTCGTGGTACCTGATCTGAAGAAAATCCCACACCCCCTGTATTTCGAGCGGAGGGTTGTGCACGCCTGGAACAGTCTGCTAGAACACGTCGTCGAGGCCGAAGCTGTGCAGAAATTCAAAGCTTTGTTGGATTTACACTTCGCTAACATACGTTTCAGAAAACGGTTGCCATTTGGCAACGATATCACCCACTTGTGACTCAGTATGTGAACAAGCATTTTGTGTGCTACAGAGGGAGTTGCTGAACCATCTCAGGATAACCACCGGACGTGTTTATTTATTTTTTAAAATGTCTTTGATTATCACCCGATTGAGTTGTACAGAAGTATTTTCTACTAGCTCCAAAATACAGTCTTCAGTTGGAGCACATTGTGGACGACAATTCACTCACCCCCAAGGTGGGAGAACCTCCTTTTTCAGCCAAGGTCCTGAGAACCAAGCAGTAAGTACTCGAACCGGCGAATAGCCACCATCTTTAATAGGTCGGAAGTAAGCCATCAGGGCCCTGTGCTCTATAGCGCTACAAGATTTTCTTGTGAGAAGGCGGATATGTGGGGACAGACCACAGCACCAGTGAGCGCTCCATGGTAGCAGATGGAGTTGGTGTCCAGAAAAATTACGAGCTAAAGTGTTCAACCCATCGTTCCAACCGTCGTTGATGATTAGTGATTAATGGGCCATCCTCTTCGCAGATCGTTTCGCGTACACTAACCAGATCGGAAACCTTCGGTGGCTCGGATAAGATGGAAAAGTTTTCTGGCATTACCAATAAGGCTAGCAAGTTGCATCTCTCTAGCAAGTTCACACCATCAAGTTTCACGGTCCTTTTGTAGACTCCTGTGCAGTTCTCGATCTAGGGATCGTCGTTACTCACTACAGCTAGAATCGGCCGGGACCGAGCGGCGTTTATTCATCAGCGATGAAGCGACAGCAGTGCTCCAGCTTTCCGGCGGGTGATGGGTGACTCCGCAATTATTAATGCTGGCAGAACCTAAGGCATTTTTGATTCGCATCCACTGTGAATTCAGTTCATCATCATTAGAAGCTGGGGTAAGCAGTGTTGACAGGCTAACATCGTTGAGTTTTGTAGGTTTTCTACGCTCGGTCGGTAGTGCATACGCCTAGGCGGTCTTCCGAAACGCATGCATAACTTTGCGCGAACCAATGCATGATAAGGGTTCAAACAAGTTGCACAGTACGAATGGCCATCTGATACGCTTCCGCGCCATCTGTAGCTTATTGCTATGTAGTCAAACTAGGACCACTCTTGTGTTTGAGTAGATGAGCGCCAGGTAGCAGTCTGTCTCTTCAAGTGTCGACAACTGGTGCTCGCAAGAAGCAAGCGATGTAATGAACGAGTCGGTAGTCTGTCTCCATAGTCTGATCCACTGTTACCGAGGCGAAAACTACCCCCAAGACGTTGCTCGCTTAATGGCAGGCGGTCCACTCGTACATTTAAATCTCCGACAGGGATGACAATACTAGACCTTTTAGCGGAACGCTGGATGTCATGTAGTTGTTAGTAAAAGCAATCTTTGACTTCATCCGGGCTGCAGTTTGTAGGAGCGTAGGCGGAGACGAAAAATAAAGCTCATGTACCATATCGACGCTTACTTAACTTATCTGAACCTCGTAGTCTGACTGCACACAGCTGACTGTTGACTGGGATCCAGTGAAGCAGAGCGGACTCAGTCTTGTAACTCAGATCAACCCCAACACCAGCCTGGCCAGAAGCGGCAACATCTTTTCCAATGGAAAGGCGCAAATGATATTTGACGTAAGGGTTTGCAGGAGAGGCCATTCTAATGATGGTAGTGGAGTCTTACAATCTAGTTTCTTAGAGGCAACAGATATCCACCGAAAGTGTCTCAGGGGTGCGGGTCAGGTATGTTTGCAGTCCGCTCTGCATCAGAATGCGCAAATCGAACGCTAAGGAAGAATGGAAGACCAGGTCGAAGAAAAGTTACGGCTTCGGTGGAGTGTGAAAAGGCTGTTGTCGCAGGGCATTCAACATCAAGAGGTTGACTCTGACTTTTGTCAGGTGCGACCACTGAGCTGCTCTTGGCGGTGACCGTGGACGACATAAGTGTTGTTATATGATGGGACGTGTGACGATCTGTGAGAGGGGCTTCAGCAGTAGGGACAGTAGAGTATGTAGACATAGCAGGAGTGAAAGCAGTGGTATTGTCCGTTCATGATTCCTCAGTGGGGGTGATATTACCCGGTTGCCCAGGCCGAAGTAGAGGATTGTCTTAATGGGTCATACTCTGTGACTTTGATCAACCATCTAACCTACAAGGCAGCAGAGCGTCACAACCTGTTGGGAGCCGGTGGCCAAACAAGTGATTCATACGCCTTAGTGTCCTGCAAAGGATCAGGAGACCAATACACCCTGAAGTTACAATGCTACTCAGGGAGAAGCAAGTGGCGGCGCATTTATTGAATATCGAGTCACATCCGTCATGCCACAGTGTTGTTAAGCTGACATGTGGCTTTATATAAGGAGAACGCTTGCGTAGGCAAAAACCCACCACGTCCTGGAACACTGCCGCCAAATCGTTCGCCGGAGTGTGACAATCCCGAACCACCCAGCGGGCACCACGAGGTTGTTCGGCCAGCCAGCCAATCCGGTCACTCATTTAACTTACTGTTGTGTCTCCAACTGGCAGCCATTGTCACTGCGGTTAAGTTGTCTAGTTTTGTTCACTAAACTGGAATTCACTGCACTAACACAGATCACCGTGCTCCGGGCGTACAAGGAGCCATCTGCTTCATGCCATAGCGTTGCCTTTTGGGGAATCTTTCATTTAGTTTTACACGAGTCAAATGGCATTCACGTTGTTCGGGATCCTCTGTGTTGTGTTTCATGCGTCTGGTCTGCAATTTGTACGCGCCGAGTTCGAGTCCCCTCTTGGGCCCTCCTCGGCAGCATCCCTACCAGCATACACACTGCCGGTCGCATAGCAGCAGAGCACCAATACGATCCACTTTGACGTCTTGTTGACATCTTATCTGCATGAACCACCTACTCGCGTTGTTCTGCAGTGTTGTGAACCCGCCCTGCGCTCAGCACCTAGCCATTCACCTTAGTCGATCTGGATCTCACACTGAATAGCTCTACTTATCTTAATTCCAATGAATATCACTGAGAACAATGCGTTGCGTCTCTCCTCTGTAGTGTGATCCATGCGAATATCGCCATTCTGATCAATCTACCGCTTTTGGAGATAAATTTCAACTATTGAAGTTCAACCTATATCTCATATCGTATATTGTCGATAATTAAGTGAGACTTAGATGTAAGAACGATTTGTTGGGGGTCATTCATTTTATTTTTCACCTATGTCTCACTCTGTCCTGGGTCATAAGCCTTATTACTTAACATTTTTATCATGCTCACCACGTTTGAAACTGTGGGGACTTTCCCCTCATGTTAAACTTCACTGCGTGAATTATGCTTCTTTAGTCCATAAAATATGAGTTATTCCACAATGGAATCACACTGCGTACTCATTATGTCATATGGAACTATCGGTTTTTGTTAAATCGCAAAAGCAATCTTGAACACGTCCTTTTGAATGATGTCAAGCTGGAATATGGATTGTTGTTTCAACTCACTTAACCGCCACGTCGATTCTACTCTGAGTTCGACGCACCTCTTGGCATAGCTGCGTTCCCTTAGAAATTCACAGTTATCTTGTTGGGTTACATTTGATTGCTATTCTAACCAAAACGCAGTGTTGTCGATGACGAACTTCGCTCCAGTGAAACCGATTTCGTCCCCATCCATCATTTTCCCTTTTTTTTCCTCTCCATCCGGTCACAGACAACAGCTGGTTGCTTTCGACGCTTTCGTTGATTATCGGTTAACGAAGGCTTGTGCATCTGATATCAAATCGGCCAATTGCCAACCGAGCGGACAGCAGCATCCTGACTTGGGTGCATCACAAATTATGCTCTGTCTTGAGGCGGTTGAAAAACCACAGTTTGAACGCATTGACACGGTGTCCCGGCTTCAACCTGAATGCCGAGGTGAATTACTCAAGCTGAGGCGAGAGATGCTGGATGATTATCGAGTGAGTTGGTCTAGCACAGTTCTCAGCAGTGTTGTGTCCACCTCTCCGTGTCTGGCCTCTGATTTACTCACTTTTTCCGCTACCATTTTTGTTGTTGCTGTCTCGCTTAGCTGGTACACACGCTGTTTGAGTTTATGTGTGTGCTTCAGGCCACTAGGCCAAATGAACAACTAGGTGTGGACTCCATTAGAAATGTTTCGCATCGTTTTCGCTAGGCCCGATGCAAATGATGGAGAGAGGCTTTTTGGAACACGACACACCAGTACTTCGACCGCGGGGTCTCTCACATTTTTGTGTTACCAACCGAGATAAGATCGATAGATACCGTACTACGTTGTCGATCAAATTTTTCACCTTCCACATTGTTTGGTAACTAGAGCTGCATTTATCTACTTACACTACTACTCGGTATTTGCTTGCCTCAATCGAACTGTTTCCTCACATATTTTCTTGTTACCCAGTGTGTGTTTGTGTGTGTTATTTGCCAATGTGTATAGACGGCCTCACACCAAGTTTCATCAGTCAACCGCAGCTTCAAATCTAGTATTTTGTTTTGATATTATCCTTGGTATGAGTATCATTGTAATTTTTGAAGCTAAGGTAACTTCGGCTCCTTTCTCGTTCGGCTACTAGCATGAACCAGACCACGGTTAGCTCTAACTGCATTGTCGTGTCCGAGAGGTGTCAACGCACCATCCTTGTTGACACGGCTGCTCGTAAATGCGCTTGTCTAACGAGCAGTGCTGTGGCCCATTTTGTTCCTGCTTTACCTTAGCGAAGTACCTCAGCTTTTCGGTTGCAGTGCGCCTTGTTTACGGGCGTCCTAAAGAGTTGGAGAGTACTTACTCCCAACGACTGTGGCGTACTTCAGCATGAACTCGACCCCCTTTCCATATGGTCTGCCAAGATCAGTCTGTCGGTCAATCCGATCAGGTTACTATTTACGAGCCTGGAGAAGGGTAGTGATGGCGGATCTGCACCTTGACCACTCAATCGCTTCACTTCACTCCTCTCATCCAAAACATAAATATACTCCCGGCTCGAATTGAATTTATTTGGACAACTCGAACAGGTTACATGAAAACTGATTACGCATGCTTTGGAAACTCAAACGCAGCTTTGGCCTGCGGAGATTGCCACTCGTCTCTTCTCTTCCACCACTAGACCAATGTTCCAATGCGGCTCATCCCCCTATTGTCTGATCGACTGTGACGAGGTGCAAAAACTGAAACGTGTTCAGCATGTGGCTACCAGAATCATTCCCAGTTTACAGGGTCACCGTACGAAGGTCAATGAAGGATACCAGGGTTACGCACCCTGTCCTATCATTGGTTTAGTATGGGCCTCATAATGACGCACTTGTCATTGCACCTGAGTGACTTCCACATGCTAAGACCGATGCTCCGTATGCGCGTGCCAACCTGTAGGTGGGGACACCAGTACAGGCTTGTAGTGCCGGATCTGGCGTGAGTGATACACTTTATGCTTCGAACGTAGAATTGAGAACTTTTGTCACGGTTTACTAAGGACCATAGTCCTGGCAACTCATTGTCGGAATTCATAACAACGCCTAGACATCTACTTGGCACATTTTAGATTCAAAAAGTGTTTCACATCTGAATGGGAGATTAAAGGTTTGTGATACCTTTAAACTGCGCGGGAATTAGTGACACTGTTCTACATGAGTACCCAATCCAATTTCGATTAAGTTACACTCGCTCCATATTTGCTGTGTTCAGAATTACGTTTCGATTAACCAACTGAATCACTTAACGGTTCATCCTGCTCGGGCGACTAGCGAGAACACGCTGTACGGTCAATGAATAATCATGCGGTCAACTCACCACTGGTAGTGATAGAGCTACCAGCTATCCACATCCAACATCACAGTGTGTTCAGTTCGCTTGATTTCGTCAACTATGTTCCGATCACACCATTTTGACATGTGACAGACCACTCTTCCGAAAAGTGATAGGAAGCTCTGAGATTATTTTAGCAGATATCCATCGCTTCCAGTATCTAATCAAACTCACGCACATCGGGAAAAGTACTGAACGAATGTTTTGTCATACTCGGGCCTACCAGCAGCGCGCATCTCTCTGATTCCTCCTGGAGTCAAACCCACGGCGCATGTTTGATACTCAGTGGCATAAACCACGGAACCGTGTATGACGGTAGCGGACCGCCAACACTGCTTACTGAGCGACTCATCTTCCACTACTATAATGCCATGAAGGTGTAGAGGCCCGGATTTGCCTCCAGGACCACTACTTCCCTTGTAGGCTATTGTCTTTTCTCTACTAAACTGCTTTTTTCAGAATCCTTATCGGCACCTGTTAATTCCACTGGCTGATTCCCAGATGTGCCGCCCGGAAACATCTGTTCAGTATGTTAACTTACTGTGCATCGGCTACATAAGCTTTAGTTAAATGCGGTGACGATTGTCTTATCGTCTTTTATTCTTCCGTTATGATAGTAAACGTCATCCGCTTGCCAGCTATTATGACAACCCTTCCTAACTCATCACACTGGTGCAGTACCAGTGTCACTCTCTTCACATACACGAATTTGCTGATTGCCTACTTTAACTCCTGTATGCAAAGCTGACAGAGTATCAATGACTTTGTTCACTGCTTGCTCCCGTTGCGTCACTTTCAAAGAATGAGTATAGACTCTAAACGTTGTTACTCTATCATTGTTTTGTCAACGTAGTTTTCAATCAATTTCACCTACAGTAACCGTTACCGGGTGATTCAGACGCCTTACTTGTAATTCACTGACCGCAGGTTCGACCCCTTTAGTTGAAGCCGACCTACCATTATCCTTAGCTCGCGCTTGACTGTTGGTATTCCCGTAGCAGCGAAACGTCGATGCGAGTTGCTGATGCTACTACTACTACTACTAATATTGCTACTACTACTTTTTCCTGTCGTTGAGCTAGGGTTCTTCACAATCACACGACAATGTTCGAGGCGGGAAAAGATGCAATGAAATGGGCTGCTGTCCAAAATGTTATACGTGTGTTTTGCAAATTTACTCATTTCCCGAACATATTAATCACATTTTGGACGGTTAACTGCTCACTAATCGCTAGCTTAAAATTGCACAGTATATAGCATGTTCCGATAGCTCTCGGAAGTTTGTTCCAAATGTTTGCGTAGTGGATTAGCAAAAAACGTTCTCTGATTCTCGTAGTAAATTTTGGGATCATAACTTTTGTCTCTCTTTTACGGATTGGATATCTGCTGTTTGACGATATATGAACGCCGTTATCAAGACTGTGAATTTGACGGTTTATGATTCTGTAAAGGAAACATAGCTTCAGCTTCATTCTCCGAAGCCGGGCTGGGTCAAATCCAAGTTTATCACATCGCTCTCTGCATCTCCTCTTTGAGGAATATTCACATAGCCTTTTCGTGAAGCGTCTCTGGACCCTCTCGAGAGCATGCTTGTCAGATTTCCGCGGATTAGATTGGATCAATAAGCAATATTCCATACAAGGAAATACGTATGTTCTGTAAAGCCATGTGCGAGATTCCGTTAGGGAAAAATGACGTCAGTTGTAACTCATGGTTTTCATGGCTTTTGTAACTTGAAAGTCACAATGTTCGGAAAAGTTAAACGTGATTGAATATCGCACGCCCAAGTCGCGAACTGCCCTGCATTGCGAGATATAGGCACCTTGTAGTAATAAACTGACTGGCGATACTTGACATTTGTACGACAAAATATTACACTTATTCACGGCTAATGACATCTGCCACAGTTGGCACTAGGACCCAAGTGCAGATAGATCATCCTGGATGAGGCTTACGGCTTCCTGTGTATTTGCACGTTCTTGTGAGTAGACAACTTTAATGTCATCAACAAAGATAAATGTAACACCCTTGTTTATTCCCTGAAATATATCAACATATCTTAGAAAAGAATAGGACCAAGAACACTTTTTTAAATGATTCCACTAGTGACTGCTTTCGGTTTAGAGCAATGGTCGTCAATTCGAACTTATTTGTGTTATCTTGCTGCCTCCACGTTATGCGATACACGGTTTCTATCGATTCTGGGATTTTTCTTTACATAGCTATTCTATGTACCCATTGGATGTATATTTTTCAGTTCGCTCTTGATTAAATCCTGGAATAGTTTCCTCGATGAAAACGAAGCCATTATCGACTTTCAGTAAAGCAGTCTTTTTTTATTAGTGCCGCTTACTCTCACTTTTGTACAATCTCTGATTATGACTAGTGGGCTATCCCACAGGATGTTGTATCTGACGATAAGGCTTTGGTACAGTTAGGGTATAACTTTCTTAGCGAAGCCGTCGCGTGAACTTATGTTTCATTTTTAATGTGGCCATATCGCATCGAGTATCGCATTGTTCGTAGCATTAAATCACACTTCAGTTAACACAACTACAGGGATTCGGTGTGAATTTGCTAAGAACTCATTTGGTAGTTCAAAGTATTCACTTTCCTAAACAGACGTTTCGCGCATGACTTGTAAGTTTTTGACGCTTTTCTGCAATTCATTTGTATGCTACTATAAATGACGCTACAGTATTCGACATTGAGGTTGTTGAAGACTTTTAAAATATCGTATGTATGTGGAGGGTCGATTTTGGATTCCACCTTGTGTGATTGGATTGCGACGCGCAATCTCAATGTGGACCGCAATTCACATTGAAGTGAACCTTGGTCACTGCGATCCATAAGGATCGTAACCGAAGCAGATGGAAATTGGATGTTGCCCGCTGTCCCCATTGAGATTGCGCGTCGCAATCCAATCACACGTGTAGTCCAAAATTGACCCTCCAAGCGTTACCCGCCATGACCCGATAGCCAAAGGAGTTGCGGTCTCGGCTACTATTCCAATGGTCGCTTGTTCGAGGCTTGCTACCTCCGCCTGATTAGATGAAACGACATCGAAACGCATCGTGGTTGTGCAGTGTTTTCGGGTGGGCAACACCCAATTTCCATCTACTTTGAATACGGTCCCAGTGATCGCAGTGACTAAGGTTCACTTCAATGTAAATCGCGGTCTACATTGAGATTGCGCGTCGCAATCCAATCACACAACGTGTAGTCCAAAATTGACCTTCCAATTAGTCATTTACCGTTATGCAAAGCGTTGCCCACCGTGACCCGATAGCCAAAGGAGTTGAGGTTTCGGCTGCTATTCCAATGGTCGCGGGTTCGAAACCTGCTATCTCCACCTGATGAGATGAAATGACATCGAGACGCGTCGTGGTTGTGCAGTGCTTTCGTGCGGACAACACTTTTCCATCGAGTGTGTATGTTTTACAAGGTATGTTGTCCATAAAGGGTTTGATTATTGCTATTAGATGTTCGGTTTACTCCAAAGAGCACCGGACTCCAAGGTCACGAATGGACACCTGCACATAGGTGCATTCGTTATTAAGTTTAATGGACCCTTCTGGGATCGAACAGCCGGGTACTATGCTGCTTTATTTGTTAGTTAAAGACTTCAATAACCAATTGTCCCATCGTTCCTCAAATGGGGTAGATACTTTCCAGGAGATCGCCCCTTCTAAGCGTATAAACAGCTTCACTTTCGTCGGCTAGTTAAAAGCATCTACCAAAGTATTCCACCGATCGCCTCAATGTAACGGCTGCCACGTATGCCTTCATAATGCTAAAAGGTTTCCAATAGCTGTTTGGTTACTGATTCTCCCACTAGTTCTCGTGCTCCCTCTTTCCAGTCCGGTCCTCAACTATCCCCTCTATCGTCGCTCTCTCTATGTTTCAGCTTTCCCCAGATCTGCTTCTCCATTGCAATTCGACAATTGAGCAGTATTGCGCATCGAAAAAACACGGTCGTGGCGCTGTGCTCCATTGCTTACTTCACACTATGCGAAGTTACTCCATCAATCGCCCTCCAATAGAATGCGAACGTGCCATTCATTCTGTTCTCAAAGCAAGTCTTCTCCTCGTCTGCATTTACCTGCGATCTCTGCTTGTCCTCTGTCTGTGATCTGCTTTATCGTGCCTGTGTGTCCCATCCGTTTGACCCTCCCCTTGGTCTGTCTTCTGATCTAACCTCCTGATCCGAACACCTATCCTAAGTCTGCGTTTATTCTCCTAAAACTGCTTCCGCGTCTCATCTTCGAACTCCATACTCTTGACTCATCGCGATATGACGATAGGCGTGCCTCTGTGATTTGTTAATCTAGGCTGTTACACTCTCCAAGTGCGTTCACAGCCACTTATACTTGCTCGTTAATTAGTTAGGGGTTGAACACAGTCCTTCTCATTGTGCTCCTCATAGGTGGTTGGGGGTAGATCAATGACCCTCTTTGTTCCAAATTGATCCATCTGATGCACCAGTTTACGTGCCATAAATTCCACCAGGGTGGAATATGAGTGCCACTGGTTGTCTCTGACCGCCTCAAGTCCAATGACTTCTCGCTCACGAAGGTGACGACTCTCTACAACTCTACTGCTGTCTGGTCTTGTGTATCATATGCGAACAAAAGCCTACATACCCTACCCTAAACGTATTCCAGTCTGTATATGCGGCCGGCTCTAAACAGACCCACATTGGACTCTACACTCACATCGTTTAGTTGGATCTACTCCCCGTTGCCTTGCAGTTCAGACTGTTGAGCTTTGGGTTAAAGGTGAGAATCCACGAATTAAATTCCTCTCGAAGTGGGCCGCCGGAGAGTATCATCCGTTTCCCCTCCCTCTATCTCTTCCGCTCCTACTTTGCAAATTTTTTGTATTCATATTGTTCAACACGGAACCGCCAATGGTACCCCGTACTCATTGCTTAGCCGCATTTTTTATCGAACCACGGGACCCGATTCCCACCATACTTATCGGCGTTTGCATTGTGTGTCAGATCAGTCAGTATACAGCACTGCTGGTCATCACCATACGTTTTGAATAGATGTGTGCCTTCTCCCTCAAAGCATACACATAACCTAAAGCGCCTTGCCGAATCTTCAGCTTCTTTAGTTCCATGTGAATGTGACCATATACCTCCTCTCTGTGCTAATGCCGAATCAGCTGTGTCAGTACTGCACTTAGTAAGTAGTCTAAATGTAGTTTGCTTGAACGGATTCCAATTATCACATACTCGCCATCCGACTTTTGTTCTCCGTCAGGTTTCGGAACTAGCGTCATATGACATAGGAGTCTTATTGTTTCAGCTTACTCTCCTGGTACTTACAGCCTAGAGGCCTTCAGTGAGGAGTTTTGTGGTCATTATGGTTTCTAACCGTTAGCGCTAGGCAAACGGATGTTGTGTTTGCATCGGGTGACATGAATGCCCGGAGCGAACCGATTTAGAGTCCATGCTCATCATACTGATAATTAAGATCGGTTTATCTGTGTTGGTCACTATTCCCGGCCAGCATGGCTCTTGTTTTTTGGCATCTGTGATAAGCTTCTCCACAGCGAACTAGCCAGCTTCACTAGTGATTTGTGATAATTGCCTATGAATCGCCTGTCGGCTTTTTTCTGTATGTAAGCATGCCCGGGATTGGGGAACTGGTTTTGACAACTCGACCGGACTTGTTTTGCTTTGCATGGCCTTAGCAACAAATGTAAACTACTTCTCGGGTCTTCTGGGCGCGCAGCTTAACTTCTGTGTATGCTATTGGTCTGGTAACTTGTTTGTTGTACCAGGATTTGCATCCTGTGCAACGGTTCAACGATCCTACCCGTTCATCCATGTTCAATAAATTGTCCCGCAGGCTGTTGTCAATGAGATCCAACTGGTTGACTGGTTTTGAATCCCCACTCTCAGTACCATCCATCTTTTCTCTTGTTTCAGAATGTCACGTTACTTTGCACCAGTAGAGACCGTGGTTTCTGAGTGGTTGCGCTACCTACATATGAATATTATCTTCCACTTCTTCCTTTGTTTACTACTCTTGCTACAGCCATATACAGCGAGTGGCTGCTTTCCAACGCAACTTCCGCGGCTTTAACTTGAATTTGCATACCTCCCATCTAGGTTTGTTTCTGTATCATCAGTTGTGCGATCCCAGACCGTAGCCTAAAGGTAACGAGCTTGCCTTGTAATCTAGCGGCGCGAGTTCGAACCTGCGTAGGAGCAGAGCGACCCTCACAGTATCCTTAACCCACGTGTGACCGGTATTGGTTGCGCGACAGCGAAGCATCGGTACTGCGCATCAGCGTACTGCTGATACTTTTCTGCGATCGGGTCTGTGTAAATGAGGAAAGGCGCGTGATCATCAGATACACGGCTTCTATGCACCGAGGATGTTAACCAATTGGTCGCCCTTGAATATCGGTGCTTACGAAGTATCAATCACGTCTAGTGAGCTCACAGGTTGAACAATACTTAAGTCCACCAGTTGGGATTTGAAAAGCAACCGCCTGATGCCGCACCGGAGTGTCATTAACTATTTGATTTGGTCATGTTCCCCGGATTCTCGTAGACCATATTCCTCGGCTTGCATTATATGTTGTCGCGGTATCTAGTTAGGCGGAACTGTGCGGTGATCCGTCGATGACAAGACTTAAAGGCATGGACAAATTAACCTAGTGACTTGGTCAGGCCGTCACTGGTCACCTGTGTGGGTGGCTGTTTCGGGGCTGGCCACATCAGCGACTGGCGCGGAGTCATTGGCGCCTCAGCATTCGATTTTTGGCATCTAACTGCTAAAATTCTGCCCCAGTTAATTTCACTCCGTTTTTTCTTACGTTCCTTTCATATCCCGTCTCATCTCTTTCATTTTTGATACTTATTGTCATCCTGGTGGCGCGACTCGTGGCAAGTGGATTTACCTCATTTCGGTACCCAAACTCGTTGTTTAACTGAATTGAGCTGCGCTGAGCTCTACCGATCGGCTACAAATGACAAATTCGCTTTCTTTGACCAATTCACAGAACTCCTGGATGAAATCAAAACAAAAACCAAGAGCGAACTACGGTACGCTTCGGATGGTTCTCAAAATTCATTAGAGTCATCAGCAATGCCCGCTCAGTACGGAAACCACCGAGTCTTCACTAGGTACGCAATGAGGGTGGAAATCACCGTACTTGCGACTGTGCAGACAGAGTCGGCAAGCGGAATCACACAAGCGGTCATATTGGGTCGCAGAGCCTTGTGCAATGACGAGATCGCTGTACAATATATAACTTCTCAGCTTACTTCATGGATCGGGGGCGATATCTCACGGGACTGGTATGTGCATGACATCAGGTATCAGCAGTACGCCGTTACTGCCTACTGGCGCTTCGGCTGCCGCGCAACCACCACCAGTCGCGCGTGGGCTAGGCATACTGCGCTAGTTGCCCGGTCCGCTACGCAGGCTCGAACCCGCACCCTCAGATTACAAGCCAAGCTTGTGATCCTTAAGTCCACCGGCCGGAAATTCTGGCAGATGCATTGCCACACTCGCTACCGCCTGTTTGTGAGGATTTCTCATTTTTCACCCCTTGCGTAATTCCGCCAATGTTCAACTAGTTCACAATGCATGACAACGCGAGGTGTGGTCCACTGCGATAAGGTTGTCACATAAGTGCTTTTTACCTTATTGGTGTTGCGGGTGCAAATGCGTACCGTAACGACCATCAAAAGTGCGAACTGAAACTTTATGTTCGCCGGTAGAAGCCACACTAATTACAAGCCAAACACTGATAAGCAAACAATATTTGAACTCGTCTATGCTTGTTGGACTTCCTGGCAAATTTTCATGGATGGTATATAAAAACTCATCTACCCGAAGCTTCCCAAATTTGAATCTCATTCGCCAAAAGCACAGAGTTGACACAATACGAAACGTATTTAAAAAACATTGAGGAAGATGGCAGATTTCCTTGTTTTTCCATTTATCTCAAGCATGGACGAACGTCATGTTCACGTTGCATTTAACCTGCATCTGCTTCATCCATCTCGCTCTCTTGTATTGTGAAACTCAGGCTACCAACGTGGAAGAGAATGTCATTCTGGACCCAGTCATCGACCGTGCGTGTCGTCCGATGCTGACCACCAAATGCGCCGGCTTGGAGGACAAGGGGCATGGAGCTCTGTTCGAGTGTCTGTCTGCCAATCCGTCTCATCCCAGTATGACCAACGCGTGCCGCAAACACATTCTCGAGTTATTCTACTTTGTCTCTCGTGATGTGACTCTTGATGATCATCTACACAGGTAGTTTGTTGTGATTTTATCCTTCGTTTTCGCGATTTTATTGATCAGGTTTATGGCAGCACATACACTGCAAATCTGAATACTGTATTATAGAGCAAGTAGAAATGGATTCTCTACAACTATTTCGAAATATGGCGAAAAACGTTATAAAAGTTGTCAACCGTGAATATCATTGTCGTTCTCATGTAATACTTAAAATATTTCAGGATTCACAAACGTAATATGTCATCGTAAGTGTGCAGTCGTTCTCTGGATCGAATAGAGGCAAAATACAAATCTAACAACGTTTTGAACTGTTGCACAGATGTTGCCTCAATTACATGTTCGGGCAAACTGTTCCAAATGTTTACCACTCTCCGTTCGAAGCACAGTGGGTGGGGAACACATTTCACATCCGGCACGACAAGTTTGTATCTATGTCCGCGTGTGCTGCATGGCCCTCGTAAGTGCAGCATTGGCCTTAGCATTGGAAACTCACCGAGATGTAGAATTCGATAGGTCATAATGAGGTCGACTCGCACCCAACGGGAGGACAAGGTGTAGAGTCCTAATTTCTCGCACCGGTCTTCATACCCCAAGCCACGTAAACTCGGGATCAGCCTAGTAACTGCGTGTTGGACCCGTTCGATCTTTTGTGCCTCGCTTCGGGTAATCGGAAAGTAGGCGGGCGAACCGTACTCAAGCATTGGTCTAATGATGAAAGAGAAGAGGCGAGTGGCAACCTCTTCAGACCACGTGCTGAAGCTACGTTTGAGCGCCCAAAACATGCGCAGTCCGTTACGTGTCCACGGACTTCAAATCGTAGCGTGAGAGTACACCTAGGGCCTTCACGGAGGGTGTGGGATATAGCGGTTGGCCGTCAGCGCCCTTCCCCAGGCTCATAAATACCGACTTGGTTGGGTTGACCGGGAGAAGAACTTCTGCAGACCATGTGGATAAGCGGTTGAGATCTTGCTGAAGTAGGCCACAGCCATCGGGAGCGTCGATTTCTCTCCAAATCTTCATGTCGTCCGCAAACAAGGCACACGGCTACCGAAGAAGCTGCGGTAGATGGTTGATGTGGATCAGGAACAGAGTGGGCCCCAGCACAGTGCCTTGAGGCACGCCACTTGTAGATAGGTACCAGTCAGTTAGATGGTCGTCGACCTGTACCCTCTACTTTCGTCCAACAAAAAAGTCGCGGATCCACCGGTGCAGTGAGCCACCGACGCCACACATGCTGAATTTGTGAAGGAGAACCTCATGACTGACCTTGTCGAACGCTTTACTGAAATCGATGAATATCACGTCGACAGACTTCTCCTTGTTTATTGCCTTCAACCACTCATGCCTCGTCACAAGCAGGTTCGTAATGCATGAGCGACCTTGCATAAAACCGTGCTGTGCGGGCGTCAGGACCTCGTTTGACTGTAGCAACTGCAGCAATCTCTTCTTCACGATTTTCTCAGCAACCTTTGCCAAAATAGGTGTCAGACAAATTGGCCTGTAATTGTCTACTTTGCTAGGGTCGCCGCCTTTCGGAATAGGCTTCACCACCGCACATTTCCAGTCAACCGGCAACGAACCTTCGGACAGCGGCCTGTTGAAAAGGTCAGTCACGACAGGAGAGAGGATGGTCGAAAGTGACTTGAGAACCAGTGGGTGAAGCCCATCAGGTTCGGCAGGTTTGGTGCCGTCAAGGTTGGAGAGTAGTTGAGCTACCTCTTCAACGCCGCAATGCAGACTATCGAGTTCGGTAAAAGCGGTACACGTTGAACTCGGAACAGACACCTGATTATTCGCAAATACAGAAGCGAAGTGCGCCGCCAACGCCCCTTAATAACGTAATAATCAATAGTCATCTTTCTTGATGGCGTCTTGCAAAGGAAATGGTAACTTTGGGGGCCAACCCTATCCCCAGTGCGCTCATAACTTACATCATAGTGGAGTAAGAGCCACGATATATCGCAGTTAGTAATCAAGAATGACAGTCACGGACCGTCATTTTTGACTCAATGTCTTAACTCGCTGACTCGTAAGAGTAAGTTCGCGAGTTCGAACCCAGCAGGATGCGATGAATACACACTACTGACGAGTTCCATTGGGATGAAACCGTCGTATATCGCCGTCCTGGATACGTAGTGACTGGCTGCATCGAATTTTCTGAAGAACACTCTACTTGTCATAGTGCTGCAGCTTAAAAGTTTAGTCTGTCCCTGCAGTTCAATATGATTAGCTCCGCGGTTTTTTTTCCTTAGAAATGGCACTGGACTTGTTGTGTAAGGGTTTTCTTAATCCTCGCAAATGCCTTTGATCCACTGATATTACCAGTGCGTTGCACAATGCACAGTTTCCGTCCAATTGCTGTAACCTTCAGCAGCAGGCGTTGAGGAACACGGACGTGGCCGCTCTCAGCAATCATGCCAACTTCATCGTTGTGAGCATTGCATTGGGGCACGTTCCGTCCATACTCCGTTCAACTGGAATTACGTGTTATTAGAAAGGAGCTTTACGAGTGTTAACGTCATGTCAGCATGGGGTTTGAAATTCTGTCGACCCTTTTTTGTTCTCTCAATTTTATTCGAAGTGCTTTCTACACCTCGAATGCAGTATACTATGACAAATATTTGTAAACACCGCTGTGGCTTTTCACCAAACCAGATCGGTTCACACACTTGGTTAGTCTATCCTTTTGTCCTTTTTTCGTTCGTTTTTTCACTTCATCCTTTTCATTCTGCTCTTTCATTTTCGTTACCATCCCCACGCCAAGTGTGTCAACTCGAATGTGTACGCTCTGGTATTCGGGCCAGCTTCCACGGACTCTACTTAGTTGAATGCAACTGACCGATTGAACTCTTTCACATGAAACATTGTGTTAGGGCGGTCTGTTCACAATAATGCCGAACACTGATAGCTCGGATCGTTGGCTTTTCAAGTGTCCATCTGATCAACAAGCTTAGCAATCCATCAATTGGAGTGACTACATCAGCGCATAGTCGTTCATCGGTGACGACCACTTAGTCATCCGAATACTGGGTTTTGTCCGTAACCAAACGATCAGACTATGAGGATTATTTCGTTTAGAGCAACCCCGATACACCCCGGAACGAAATGCACATTATCTGTCTATTTATTATTCCACTGAACAACCCCAATCGTTGTCACTGCACTCCACCAGTCATGCTTCAGGCGCCTGAGCACAGTCACTGAAGTTTACAATGACACTGGCGATTGATCACGGTGCAGCTGGCAATGTATCTTTTCGAATAGACACACTCTCCACAACGTCTAGTGTCTCACTACCAAAGGTATGTGCATGTACACGCACCTGCCAATCTTGATAGATAGCTTTACACTTGGATGGGGAAAAGCACATTTCATACTTTGATGTTTCAATCACTAAGAGGTCAAGTGCAAGTTGGACGATCTGTTGACCGTCACCCAGCAACATGATATCATCACCGTACTCCAAATCAACCACTCGACTACCTGAGACGAGCTTAACGCTAGCGTTCAATAAGTCTTCTAGAGCATTTTTGAAGGTATGCTCAACGGCACAATTGAAAAGGAATGATGAGACTGGGTATCCTTGTCGAACTCCACGGGCAACAACAAGGGATAGCGAAAGCTTTCCACAATCCCTTACTCTACCTGAGGTCGGACTATACATAGCAAGCAATGTCACCTACCATACAACCGTACGTAGACCACTCGTGATCTCCTGAGCTGACGCCACCGTATTGCCGCAGAGGACTTGACTTGAATCACAGTGTGTCCGAGAATTTTCGTTCAAATGTTGGGATGGATAACTTGAACGCTACAGCTATACTGTTCATTTTGATTCGTCAATGGCTGTCTCGCAGAAAAGGCTGGTCCTTCATCCGACGTACTTGCAATGAACGTCTGCCGCGATTTCTTCGCAGGATCTGATTTCATAGGGCCAATACATCTGAGCATATCTGATCACTGTTTTACGCATCGAAATTTCAGGCACACACTTGTCCTCAACCTTCTGCGATTGCAGTTTAATGTGTTTATTCAACCCCCTAATCTTCTTTGGTTCCACTGTTACCCTATCTTGATTCCAGACACACATCACTTCCGTTCTCGACTCTTGATCATGCTGGCTTGTGATACTGCCTCTCCGTGAACGGTATATCAGAGAAACTCCTTTCTATTCTTAAGCCTCTCAATCACACGTCACGCAGGTCTCTACAAGCTTTGATCGCATTACGACCTTGTAGGAGCTCGTACAACAAGCATCCGCGAAATACATGTTGATTATTCACCATTAATGTTGGATAATTGGACAACACACTATTATTGTTCCAGGATGTTCCTTTATATACCCAGAAGATTATGCAATGTATCTTAAAACATTTAAACTGATTTTGGGACAATGCAATAGCGGCTGAATCATCTATGGAGACGGCGGGACGTCATCCTGTCGCATAAACGTAGGGTGTATAACGCTATGATATGCCCAGTCATCATCATCATACTACACGTTAGCTGGAGGTGGGGAACACCTCAGTTACTGTGCCGCAATACATAGAAAAAAAGAGAAAAAGAAAAAAGCAACTGGTGCAAGCTGGTTGAGCTACCGGTAACGGATGGGCATCGTTCCGGTAAGCTACCAGCCGGCTGCTGTGCACCAAAAAAATTACTATGCAAAATTATATAAGGCTAAATAATGAGATCGTGGTTGGAGGGGGAGGCTAAGAGGGATGGGGTGGGACAAAGAAACTCACAGCACGAACGCCACTGAGGTCGGCTCCTAGCCATATCAGCAAGTGTGTCCAACCAAACGTGTTCATCGTCTTTCGGACCCCAACCAGGGAGCCGAGACGCTCCAACCGAGGCCAGCTCAGAAGTGAGGGCCTTCATTCCTCTCGACCAAGTCATCACTTGGCCACCCCTCCTCCTCTTTCATCCACACCCCCGGCGCGCAAACAACACACGTCGCGGAAGTCGGTGGGCTGGCATGCGTAACACGTGGCCGAGCCATCGGAGCCTGATGCGTGAAATAACGGTGCTGAGCGGTTCACTTCCTTTTCCTGTGCGTAAACGAGGCGTCGAACACGCTCGTTGCTCACGCGGTGTTCCCACCAGATGTGAGCTAAATTACGAAGGCACCGATGGTCGAACGTAACTAGCCTCTTTAGGTCCGCTGCTTTAAGCGGCCAGATTTCACAACCGTACAGTAGGGTCGAACGTACCGCTGCATTGTACACTCTACCCTTCAGGGCGAGAGTGATGTCGCGCCGGCGCCATAAGTGGCGAAGGTTAGCAAAAGCGCCCCGAGCTTTTGCTATACGATTCGTGATCTCACGGGCGGTGATACAATTTCCCAGGTAATTGAATTTTTGAACGACTTCTAGCTGATCCCCACCAAGGGTCAGCGTAGGAGGCGGTCCAGACCAATCTTGGAGGAACGCTTTGCACTTCGAGGGTGGGAAGCAAAGCCCGAAGTGACGGACAGCTAGTGCTAATCTGTCCAGTGCCGCTTGGCACATTTGTGAGTTGTCACAGATTAGGGCAATATCATCAGCATACTCTAAGTCAAGAAGTCGTTCTCCTGGGATTAGCTCCACACCTTCTAAGTCGTGTCCTGTGAACGCGATTTCCATGACTTCGTCAATAGCGAAATTGAAGAGGAAGGGTGACAGCGGGCATCCTTGTCTCACACCGCTGGAGATAGTAAAGGGCGACGACAACTGGCGCAAGCAGTGGCCATAATGTATTCCATTTCTTACATCTACTTGTTAATCATTAATCTAGCCCATAATTTAGCGCTTTTCTGTCCCGATTCCATTTTGTATGTATTCCGTTTGCATTCTACCTAATTTCTTTGCCTTTTTTATTTATTGTTATTCTGGTGACGCGGATCGTGGTAACTAGATCCACTGCACTTCGGTGCCCGAATCACAGTTACTTGGCTTAGCTGAACCAAATTTACAGTTACTGGATGGTCGTTTTACTTTAGTGAATTGTCAGGCGTAGATGACCTACACACAAGTGTTGACGTGAGGTGCCTATTCTGCTAAATTGATTATCTCTAGACTGTTGATCCCAGGAGGATGGCAATCGCTGCTGCTGCAAACGGAGTGCGCTTTCCTCAGTTTTAGACTCTAAGCGTCATGGAATAAGCTACTGCCCCGCCATCACTCTGTACACTATGTCTCGTACACATGTTCCCTCTCAAAAATGTTTACATCCATGGGCCAGCCCCCACCGGTATACCCTCCAGTCTAACTACATCGGGCGAGTAGACGGAGTACAGCGCAAACCTTGACACGACTGTTCCTCCCCCACCATGATTTGTGTCTATTTATAAACTGTTAATCTTGCTAACCGCCTGTTTAACTCCCATTTATTTCCCATCGCCTTCTTCTCAGGGCTTGCGCTGATGACAGCATCCGGTTGTGTAATTTACCCCGTATAACATGGAAGAACTACGAGAGACCGGACGCACATCTGTTGACATGCTTGTACAACCACCGGCGCCCTTCGCTCGATGGCCGTGCTCCACCGACGATTAATATGTCCAACATGATCTCACGGAGCTGTCAAGTCGAAGTACTACGCGTGGTACATCTTCGTGCTGCCAGCGTTTCTCTGGATCCCCGCGTATTCGAAGTGTGCCTGGCAGATTTGGCATCTTGTGATGACGAGGATCTCGAGTATGACGATTCCGGGGAGGATGATGATGAAGATGACGAAGAGGAGGAAGACTACCCGGAGGACTCCGAGTTCGATTTCGGAAAACTTCGTCGACTTCCATCAAGGCGAAAAGGTCATGCAAGGGTTCAACGCAAGGGCAGTAGTGGCTTGGCCTGTCTACAAGATCATCTTGATACATTGCAGGTTGGTCCCATTTCTCATCCATGGGGTTGGGAACGCATTCACTAATGAGGTATATTGCGTTGTTCTGAGTGCTGTGGTCTGAACACCTTTAATCTGTAACAGGCAGAATTCGATTCGATTTAAGGAAAACACATGATGGTCCGCTGTACATCTGCTCCTGAGGTTTATCCGTACAGCCAGCTGGATACCTTCGTTTGTCAATATAGTCGCAGTCGTCTGACAGTGAGCAGAAAATCGTATTATGTCGGCAGACGCCCAAATCTTCTGTTCATGGCAAGCTGTAGTATTTTCGTTAGCTCATCCATCATTATCTATACGAAACCCTACCAAACTTGACCTTCTGTACCCAAGCCGGTGTTTGCTCAGAATCCGTCATTCCCTCTTCTCAACTCTTTGACATTTGATCACCCGATTGAGAATACCCACACTTGGTCCGCCTGGTACGTGTTACCTCCGTGAACAGAGATCGTGTCGGACCACAGCAGTGGTTGGGGATCTTACATGGCGCAGCGACGGAATCAGTGGCACTCGTGTATCTGATCCTTTGCACGAAGTTCCTGGCACGTCAACTTGAATACTTTCGCTTGCTTCTCTTTTCTGCCCCTCATTTCTTTGTGTTCTACTTGCGTCACACCTCATCTCCCCCACCATTTCTACCAGTATCTTGACGATGTCCCCTTAGTTTGAGGATTTGCGGTGTAATCACTTTATTGACCATTATTGTATGGGGAAACTTGTTCCTGTTAGATATGTGACACCGGTGTGTCCGTGTTGATGAGTTTCGCGGCCATTTACGTTTGTACCTCTACTTCCAAGAACTAACAACTTTCGTCGGTATGGACATGTACCATATGTACACCTGACCTTTGGTAACTGCGGAAAATCATTCGTTTTATCTGTCGGACATAAGGTGTGTTATGGTGTGACGAGGAACCCCCATTGACTTGGCGGAGATAAGTGGGTCCACTGGGAGCTATTGGTCCTCCCTTTTCGGAGTAGGGTAAATGCGCTCTTCTCTGTTCTCGACTAAAGACCTTGCAGCCATCATCGGGAACACATTTGAAATTGTGCCGTGGTCGGATAACCTGTTTCAGACTTCGGTTGGTCAGTTATCTGTGACCCAAGATTGATTGCGACACTTTACACCAAAGCTGTGTGGAAGCCGTCCTACGGATGCCGTTGTTGTTGAAACATAGGCACATCAATCCTGAATGCTCCCCATGGTATTTGAGTTTTTCCTCAGATCCTCCGTTCTTTTCTCCCATCGTTACTCCCCACTGATGACGCTTTCTTGTTTGGATGGTGACGAATTGTCATCGTAGATTATTGATCTGCTGTTACTATTATTTGTTCGTTCATTGGTTTTAACGTAGTAAGTTTCGCTGCCTTTTTTCATCAGTGAACAGTAAGAGCAGTCTTGCAGCCACGTTTTGCAGCGAGCTACGTATTAGGTGCTTCAGCGCTTGTATACTGCCAGTTAGCAATTAGATGACGGATCCAAATCCCGTCAGTTACATTTGTCTTAGTTCTTGGAAATATTTCATCCACCCAATGAAAGACCCTCGTGATCCTTCGCCCTAATTCATGTACTCTTGCTGACCGTAACTTTTTTTTGTCCGTAGCCCTTTTGCAATCGAAAACACACACAAACGTATTTACTAATTTCCGTTCTAGCCTCCTTGTTACGCGGCCGTCGTCGAAGTCAGTGCGGAAGCACAAGAGGATCCGAGTCTTGACAGGCTGATGGCTGAGGCATGTCAACCAGCACAGGCAAAGCTCTGCCCCGACTCCAATCACCCAGAGAACGTACTTCAGTGTCTCATACACCACAAGAACCACCCGAACATGGACAGTGCTTGTCGTGCTGCTGTAGAGCACATGCAAATTGTTGGTACGTTATCTCTGCCATGATTTATCTTTCCGATTTCTCTCATCACCTCTCCTGAACGTTGGCATTTCGGTAGTTTCCTTCGTGTGGCATTTTACTCTTGCGCTGAATTGTGCTCCGATTGTACACCCACTTAGCTTTCTCATGTATCTTATGCGCTTCTGCAATGTAGTGTGACGCTTCACTGGGTCTCCATCGGTCAGCGGCCGAAAGAATTACGCGCTTGCCTTGTAAACCGGAGGTCCCCGGTTCGTACCCGCTCAGGTGCAGGCGGCCGCGAAAACTTAGCCACGCGCGACCGCTAGCGGTCGCCTTCAGCGTTTCTGCTTGGGGCACCTCGGACACCATAAGTGCCCCGGCCCACTAGCTGAACGTAATTAGCCAACTTCTCATCACTAATGTCTGAACTAAATGGTTGGGGATACACCACAATGTCACAATCCCCCGTGTGTTCATGCGTTTATGTGTGTTTCGGAGAGAATACTCGCCAACATCAAGAGAATACTAATTGTGGACTATTGTTGTTACCGTTGCGGCTAATCTAGCGCAGATTACGAATATTGGTGAATCTAATGGAAAGGGATACTCTAGCGTTGAAGATAATCTTGTCCTCTTTGGTATAGTATTTTTGGAGTTAGCCGTTTTCTCTTATCCGACCGGCCTGACGAGGGAAGTAAAGATACAAGACAGAAGAAGCACTGGAGACCGGATCTTTCTCATTTTACATTGCCTGTGGCAACTAGCTGTTTTCCGTCCACGACGAAATTTACCAAGAAATAGAATAGGACTGAGGAAATGAGACTTTTGTTATAAGAGTGCCCAACAGTTCACCGTGGACACTGACGTGGCCCGCAGTCTCCGAGTGTAGACCATATAATATGTTCATCTAATTCATGCAGCACCTTTCCGGGTGGGTGTGCAAGATCAGAACGGATTGGTCGACTAAGTTGAACTCACTAGTAGTATTGGGGGACAGCTCTGTGCTCGGCCCGCGATAGCTATGACCCAGAGCAGCTTAATCCACCAGTCACCAGATTCTCCATCCGCCAGTGATCGCTCTCATCCCTGGGCCGTCCCCCTGGACCTGCCTTCATGCGCAAAAGTCGAACGTGAGATCAGACTGTTTCAAGTGAATAAGGCCGTAGGAGCAAATAGAATTCTTAGCTCTCTTAAATTTCGGGGTACCTGCTCCTGTAGGTAATCTGCACAACTTACTTGAGAAGCTGTGGGGACAGGAAACTGTCCCAGCCGCTCCGTTATACTCCCAATTTTCACAGGGGTTTCACATTCCGAATGCGGCAATCATAGGGGGACCAGTCTGATGCCAACTGCCTCCAAGATACGTGCATCTGTCGTTCCTCATAGACTTACCGGCATCTGTGGAAGCCAGATTCTTGGGGGTCAAGCCTGATTTCGTCACATTCGCGATTGTATTGATCACATCTTCACATTACATCATTTGTTGCAGCACCGCCATATTTATCAGCGTCCCACCGTTGTCGTGTTCCTCGGCATCCAAGGTGTCTTCGATTCGGTTGATCAGTGTGCCCTTTGTGACTGTTTGCTCAGGAAAAGTGTGCCCGAAAAATATGTAAACATTATCAGAGCGTTGTACACGCAGTCCGGGCAGAGCGAGGACTTGCGGCGAACACTCACCACTCTTCAATATCTCCAGCAGTATGGCAACGATGCTCCCTGTCAACTTTTCTTTTTAACTTCTCCATTAGCGAAGTTATGGAGACTGTTCACTGGACACGACATGCAAGGCATGGAGCTGCTCCTAGGTGATCGACTTCGTGACTTGGAGTACGCCGACGACATTGTCCTTATCTGTGACAGCTCCCAAACGTGCCAAGTAGCACTGGATAATTTAGCACTAGTTGTCAATTGTTTTCGGCTACGCTTTGCTCTCTCGAAATGCAAAGTCTTTCTCCTTCCCTGCCAGGACCCACTCCTACGCTGACCGCAGGTGGTGACCAGCTAGAAGTCATCGAGGAACTAACGTATCAAGGCAGCTATATCAGCGCCAGTAGAATGGAAGACAAGACCACAAGTCACATATCATAAGCTCGGGACGCTTCTGCCAATCTCCGCCACATGTGGCGCCGGCGTGACGTCACTCTCTCTCTCTCTGAAGGGCAGGGTTAGCAGTGCAACCGTCCGTTCAACCTGTACGGTTGCGAAACCTGGCCCATCAAGTCGGCAGAAATAAAGAGAGTTACGTTCGGCCTTCGCAGCTTAGCTCATGTCTGATGGGGGCACCGCGTGAGCAGTGAGTGTGTTCGGCGTCGCGTATGTGTTGCAGGAAGAACTAGTGAACCGCTCAGCACCGTTATATGACGCATCAAGCTCTGATGGCTGGGCCACGTGTTGCACATGCCAGTACACCGACTTCTGCATTGTGCGTTGTTTACGCGCCCGGGGTCTGGATAGAAGAAGAGGAGGGGACGCCAAGTGTGTTTCTCACCTTCAGCTAAAGTTTAAAGATGTCGATGATAACGTAGAGCTACACAACCTCTTCACTGTCGGGGGCCTGCCTACTCCGTGATTCCCAATCCGCCGTAATATAATTTATCACAACGGTTAACGTATGAATGTCGGGTATCCCTACTAATATCACCATTATGATTGATTCACCTCTGTTGACTGGAATACTCTTCGCCTGTAATTATTTATATGGATTTACTCTTTCCTTCCACAGAACACCATAGCCGGTCAAGGAATGCGCTGCTTTGTCTTACCTAACCTCCGTTAAGTATAATTCCTGTTTTCTTAAGCAGTTTCGCCCTGTATTTTTTTAGTTCAACCACCTGCTTGTTCTCTCCTCTGGCTGCATCCACCACGTTGGCTCATTTCACTTGAGGTATCAAGTTATGTTAATCCGTTTTTCCTCCCTTTCCTTCCTTCGTTTGTTGGATCTTTCTTCCTTTGGTTGCCCACTGCTTCCGTTCACAATCGCTCAACATTCACTTCCTACTTTTCAGCTCTCAAGAACATCCGTATCTCAACACATTTCCACCGTAGTTGCCAGTCGGATGCTCAGAAATATTGCGCTTCCGAAATTTCCCGTGGCACCTCAGCTGTCGTGGTGTGTTTAAGTGCGCAGTTGACCGCCTATCGCATACTTGGTGCTTCGAACTCCGACGCCGAGGTGCCAGGATCAAATCCACTGACTCCACCGCTATCCGCTGCATGTCACGAGGAGCTTGTCAATCAGCTGTACGCACGTAGCGAGTCCATCCGGTTGGACCCAGAGTTGGCTGAGGCTTGCGACTCGGATCGTAAACAGTTTTGTGCACACATAGCAGAAGGCGATGCCAGGGTACGTTGATCCTTATTATTATTACTACTACCTACTATCACTTTCATTATTTTTCGTTGTTGTAGTTGCTTGAAAAGTCGCTTTACGTTCTATAGACTAAGTAGGTTGGAGGCCAGCGGCAAATTTGTTAACAATCGCTAGTTCGTGTTTAGGCTTCGCGGCCAGTCTTATTAGGGCTAGACTATCGGAGATGGCTGCTCTCAACAGGTTACTGGATGCTTTTCTGGGCTTTCTCGCTGTACCCTGGGTACCGATAGCGAGCTGGAGTCTGGGACTCTTACACGGAAATTTGGCTCGAATGACTGCCATGTACAGTACTCTAATTATCTGTTTTCTCCCCGTAAATTTTTCGCTCCTTATGCCATGGCCAAACTTGCGGTCGCTGTGCGGTTAAATTAGCCTAAATATTATACTACTTATTTATTATCAGTACTCATGTATTTTCGCTCATAACCACTGAATCCACGGGCTCTGATGAACTTTGCTGCACACAGCGAGTAAAGCTAACCCGCGCCATACTGTTATTGGCTCCGGCTACCGCTGCTCCTTATGGTGGAGTCACTTTAGCCGGTATCTCGCGGTTGATTACGGTTCCGAACTTCAAGTGGACCTTAAGTGAGGTGTATCTGCCACCCCCGGATGGGGTGAGGCTGTGTCCCTGTCCATGGCCCGATGTGTGGCGCCTCTGATTGAGTGTGCCCATAATTGGTTTTGTTAGGTTTATATACATATATATATATATATTGTTATAGTTTATAAGTAGGGTTAGAGTTTTCGGTGACCCCTGTGTTGCTCCAGATGGCACGACCAGGGCCATCACATAATCCACCATCGGGAGACTAAACTAATGGTTGCCTACTGCCATACATTAGAATGGGGCCAAACGACATTGTTTGAAGTTTCCTATGCGATAGCCTTATTTTTGTTGTCCTCAAACCACCTAGAAACACCACTCCACGGTGGCTTATTTGTCTTGGAGCAGTGGAATCAGTGGAAATCTTACCGGCCCCTCTCTCATTGTAAGCCGCAATTTCGTCATACTCAAAGGCTACCTGCTATTGTCTTCTTACCTTCACTTGAACGCCACCTTTGCCTCAGCGGATCGTACACACTGTACAAATCAAGGGCACGTCCATAGCGTGCTACGAACCTTAAGAGACTGGTAGTATTCGATCGCTGCCGCTTGCGGCTTATTGCCCACAATTGGAGGGAACACTAAGTGTTATTCAAGTCGACCAGTAAATCATATGTCACACTTCTAATGGTTATAGTTAACTCACACTCCCAATAGTTGGCGGCATGTGTTTTCAGATTTACCGCCTCTGTGATTGCGAATGGCCACACAACACCTGTGTTTGTGACGCATCACTCATATGCACCACATTTTTGTGTAAACTCAATGGAGTATGGTCGGGCGACGCACGTGGATGGGAGGCACGACTGGTTCGGAACCGACCCACGCTCCTTCGACACTTAAGCATGTGAGATTAGAAGAAGCACGTGCACCAGATGCCCACGGCGCAGTGGTTGAGTGGTGTTCCGCTCCGCACTGCATGGAACCACTTTGAGCCTAGCGCTGTCACAAAGACTGTGCACCCAATCAATCTCCCTAACCATTAACAATCCATTGAGACCAGGATTCGATGCTGGTGCACCGGACGAGCAGGCATCTGGTCGACATTCGTGCTGACTTCATCAAGACCTGACAATTCACCAGGTAGTCTAACACCCAATCCGGAAAAAACCAGACGATTGTTTTGCTAGTCAATGGGGTGCATTCCATCGGTTTTCCCCTCAGCGAACCGATACAATAACCGCTAGCAGCTTCCACCAACTAGCCTGCAGTTTATGCCACTAAGGCATGGAGGATGGTGGCAAAGCGTTATAACTTGCAAACTAATTGGGATATAACGCAACTTATCCTTCACTGCCATGCAGATTCCTACCATTGCAGAGGACAGTGGCTGTCCTCCAGTAGTCCCGACTTCTACTGCACAACAACTATGTATACATAGAACTTGAAGACTGGGAGGGCGAATTTTTGTGTACTAATGAATAGGTGAATTTTTCGCGCAACTTTACAGCTGGACAACTCCGTAGAATTTCACCAAAATCCACCTCACTGGTAACTCACCAGGGGATGAACGTCCATTTGGCACATTTCTGCCACTCCGATACAGTAGTCAGACTGGAGCGACAAAGTGCATCATGCCCCCTGTCATCCCCAACTTAAGCGTATACATTGCTATATGGCAATGGTACTTTTTACTACGCAATGTCTGACACATTTTTCCCACGCCTATTATGCACCTGATGCATGCATTTAGATCGTTCCCTCTGAATAACCGTGACGTTCATGTAACCACCTTCGGTTGCTGCGACGAAATCAATTGGGGATTTCATATCACCAAGTTAACGTCAGATATTAGGCTCAGTTACTTACTCGAGCATTTGTGCCAAGCAACGTATCCATCTTTATTGTCCTCGCAACTATATCCATGACGTCAAAGGGGCCATCATTACATTTACTTGACCTTTTTCCTCCTCCCCCAGATACTCGAATGCTTACACGAACACCGGGAGCAATTGTCTTCCTTCTGCCATCGGAAACTGTTCGAACGCGACGAATTGATGGCTTTGGAGAACAGAGCGGACTACCCTCTCTACAAAGCATGCGGTCAAATGATCAATGTGTACTGCGCTCCTGTGATGCAGAAGTTGCTCGACACAGATGACCTGCATCACCAAATCAAACAGCAGCATATGGTCGTGGAATGTCTGACTGATGCAATGCACCGAGTCCAGTCCAAGGGTACTTTTGATCAGCCATGTCGCGAGCACCTTGTGCAAATATTGGAGCTACGTGTTAAGGACTACCGATTGGATCCGGAGCTCCAGCAGGCTTGTCGGTACGCAAACTACTCATATTCAGCGCACTTGTAGACCCAACTCGGGCGGTACGAGTTAAATTCTCGGGTCTATCTCCATTCATGCATTCCCTTCTCTCCCCGACTTCGCTACCTCCACTTGTTAGCCCCCCACCAGTGTCTCCCGGATAGCCCTGCCGATTTTCGATGCATACTTTGCGTCGCTTTTCCATCTAAATCCCCCCCCTCCTTATTTACTTGCCTCGTATTTGAAATTGCTTGAAATACTGGGTTGATCATTCTGTGTTTCATGTGCTCACCGAGCTTGGGAATTAGGTTACAAACGTTTCATCACTAAACGGCTTAATTTCCTCAGTACGTTATTGTGTAGAGTGCAGTCTCGCTGATTTGATCGTCGATCACACATTGACGACCAGGTGACTTTTGAATTGTGACCTCCTTGATCTTCACTCGTTTACCTGTGGTCTCTGATTGTCTCGTATGTTCTGTATGGTTCGCTCCGGTTGTTCTGTTGCTCGTTTGCTTGGCTGTCCGCGACGGTTTTCAATCTGTCGTCGGTTACAGATCGACGACCAAATCAGCAAGACTGTGCTCTTCACAATAACTCACTGAGGAAGTCACCTCGTTTGGTGATTTTTAAAAAAGTCTGCAACGCAATTGCCTTGATTTATCCCCACTCATTGCGAACCTGACCCGTGGGGGATCATTCGTGTTGATCAATTCATATCAAGTTTCTCCTGCTTTTCCACTCCTACTCGTCTCATCTTCACCAAATCCTCCATCCTCCGTTACACTTTGATCGTTAAATCACCGTGTTTCTTTCTTCTAGATCTGATATTGCACACTATTGCCACAAAGAGGCCGAAGCCACACTCCGCGCTCCCTACGAACAAACCGGACCGGTGTTTCACTGTCTGCGCAGACACCTTAGTGAACGCCTTCAAGAAGACCAAATGCTCACTCCCAAATGCTATGCTCGGGTTCGCTTGGTAAGTAACCCTTGGACCACTCGGTCTATTTCGGAGCTACGTTGTCTCCGTGTGTGTGTGTGCGTGTGTAACCTCAACTTCTTGTTTCCTTTCAACCACAACCAACTAATCAGCCGGTCAGATTCCTAGGTCCGGATATGCCGATAGTACTAACTACTCCCGTGCTCACCATTTCTTTGGACATTAGTTCGGTTTGGACTGCATCTTTTATCCTTGGAACCTATATCACGTTCCGGCGAAGTGTTCGGCAGCAGTGTTCCAGGAGGTGGTGCGTTTTCGCCTGGGAGGCGTTCTCCCATAAAAACCACAAATGTCTGTTTACCAACACTGTGACGTGGTGGGTGTGACTCGCTACTAACTAAAGTCACTGCCCCTTGCTTCACTTCGGTGGGGTATTGTATTTGAGCAAGTGGGCCGTTTTCAGGGGGATGATTGGGCCGCTGTTTAGTAACCGACCAAACGAAAAGCGTATGAACTGAACATTCAGTCACCGACTCCCAATGGGCGCGATTCTCTGAATTCACCCCGCTGTCTTGCGGGCCGGCTGTTTAACCAAAAGCTCGGGCTGAAGTCCCCTAAGACAGCTCCCTACTTTGGCTTGGGCAACCGGGTAGTAACCCGCCCACTGACAAAACCATGGATTGTTCATCTGCTATATCGCGCTCAGTTGCCTTCTGCTTCTGCTACTTGCCCACTTTATACGCACACCACCTGTTCATTTGTCACCAATCATTGTTGTCCGCTACCAGCTGATTCCTGTTTTCACGATCCTACTTCCGGTGGTTTCTTCGACGCTAACAGATCTCGTCCAGTGATCCTCCTTCGACCTGGGTCTCCATTCCGTCTAACATGCCTTAATCTACGTACACTCAAGCAAATCGGGCAGCAGTCTGATCTTACGCGCACGTCGGCATCCCTGGCCATCGATGTTTGCTGTCTTTCTGAAACGCGCTTATAAGATCCCAATACTGTGATTGAGTTGAGATATCTCACCGACAAATATTTCACCTACCTCTATCTAGTGACACAAAATCAGTTGCAACAGGTTAGGCTACCATTGGTGTAGATCTGAGCCAGACTGGTTTCGGATTAATAGCTGCCTGTGTGCAGTTCTGCTTCGGGGATCATGCAAGATCAACAGATATCGTGAGGAGAGACTCAACTTGTCTGTGAACTCAATTTACTCTCCCACTGACTGCAGGTCCTATTCAGTTAAGGACGACTTCTATCGTAAACTTCGCCGGCTCTTGAGCGGAGCTTGCAAATCCGATATTGTTGTCCTTGTTGGGGATCTCTTCGCACAGATCATTCGTTTATTATCATGCGAAAATCCCTTCGGTGGTCACCATGCGCTAGATGGGAGCCATTCAGCTAATGGAGAGCGTTCTCACGCTGTGTGAAGATAATCGCTTATTTCTCTCCAGCACCAACTTTCTGCATTCGAGGAGACGTTCCGCTACTTGGCGACCCCCTTCTGCGTCTCAATCATGGTCTCAGATTGATCTATTGCGATCAGTTTCAGATGGCGGGGTAGTGTAAATAATTGTCGATCAATCTGGCCCACATTTCTTGACTCAGACCATGTCCTTGTCTGTATGAGTTTCGGTGCGTTCCAGGCGTTCGCAACCAAGTGGGAATTCGTGCACCAGCAAACCAGCCCATATCACAGTCAATCGAATGGGAAGGCGGAGTCGGCAGTGAAGCAAGCCAAGCGACTGGTATCATGAGCTAGAGCAACTGGCGAAGACCCGTACCTCATTGTACTGGTGAGTCGTAACACTCATTCAACGAATATCGGTTTGAGCCCAGTGCAGCGCCTATATAGCGGAAGGACTAGAACTCTGACACCGGTATCTGCCACACTTTTGCGCCCAGTTTCACCACAGCACGAACGATTACAGAACAATCTGAGACAACGAATGACCACTCAGAATTGGTACTACGACCGCGGTGCATGGGTATTACCTAAGCTAACAGTGTGGAAGTGTGGGTTCATCCATTACCCTTTAGTCAAGAGCGGTGGAAGAAACATGTGGTGACTGCGAGGGTCGATGCCAGGTCATACAAAATAAACGTTGGACAGAAAACGTTCAAAAGAAATCGAGCGTATTTGAGACGGACCTGGGAAAAACACTGTGGAGTGGCAGATGGCGTTGGGCAAGGAGACCAAGGTCGCAGATACAGCGAAGACGACGCGGAGTGGCAAGGTGTACGGGCTGGATAGCAATATGGAGGCTCAAGAACACGAAAAAGGGAGTATGTAATGATTGCGTCAGAATAGGGTGAACGGATGGATCAACCGAGCGAGCCACATAGCTAATGGGAGGCGGACATGACGGGTACAATTACTGGACTCGGATTGGCCGACATTCATGTGAGTGATTCACCGTTGTTCTAACTAAACCCAGGAAGGAACCTCATCGATCCATAAGGGTCGTTAGTTATGGATTTGAACCTGCAATTTATCTCGAGGAGTTTGGCTTGCTAAACGTGTAATTTTCGCTCAACTGTCTTTGCCGAACAAACACTTGTCTCTGTAAGACTGGGTTCTGCAACATGGTGTCAGCGAAAACAGAGACGAACCCCACCGTCGGCTCGCGGATGCTGTTAGGATCAACAGCGTCTATTCAGATGCCTGCCCACTGAACATGGATGAACGGAAATTGACGAGTAATTGGCCTCTATGAAAGAGTAAGTGGGAGGATTTCTGCACCTTAGTACCTTTGGACGAACAACCGATGACATATCGCTTGGCCATGTTTCGATAATCAGCCGGGGATGACGCACGCCGTGTTCTAGAAACATTGCACTACGACAAAGGCGAAGATTCCAATAATTTGGAGACGGTTATTGGAAATTTCAGTGAATTTTGTGAAGGTAGAACCAACGAGACCTACCGGCGCTATCTTCCCTTTTCGCGCAACAGATGCCCAAACGAATCAGTCGAGGTGTACATCACTGAATCGACGATTTTGGCCCGATCCTGTAATTCCTGTAGATGCTGAAGTGACATTCTTATACGCCACCGGATCGTTCTAGGAATCAATGATGAAAATACAAAGCGGCTTTTGCGACAACGCAACCTATTGCTCCAGTAGTACCTTGATATCTGCAACATTGAGTCTTCGACCGCCTATCGATACCAACGAATGAAGCTCGCAACAGATGCAGAATTGTTTGCCGTTTCCGGAGGCGAAGCAGTGAAGCTTACTAACGTGAGACAGGAGATCTGCAAATTTTGCGCCACACGACATCCGAGCACCCGCGATCAGTGTCCGGCGTGGGGACGGAAATGCGCCAGATATGGAAAAAGCAACGACTTGGCTACTTGCTGTTAATCAAACAATGTGAGTGCGGTCGTTTGTGACAAGTTCCCCGCAGATGCAGAACATTCAATTGGCAACGTGTCTTTTGATCAAAGGCAAAGCCGTACGATTCCAGTTAGACACAGGTGCTACTGTCAACATTCTAACAAGGAAGCACTGCTCCAGTTTGTGCATTCGATCCGATCAAGATTGACTGCGTATGTGGAATGGTTCCAAACTTCATCCGAAGGGCTCAGCTACAATCGAAATCGTTAACCCAATAGATGCAGCCTCACATCGACTGGAGTTTGTGATCGTAGAGGTAGAGCTCACGCCGATTCCCGTCAATGATTCGGTCCAGTCTCTCGGTTTTGTTGTATTTATCATGATCGTTTTATGCATGTTTACCAGGAGGAAACCGATGTTACTGATCAGTGTCCGTCTGTGTTTAGCCCAGGTTTGTTAAATTTTGAGGGAACCGCTCACTTGTCCTTAGATCCTTTGATACACAGCGCTACCGGCTAGGAGAGTTCAATTTGACTGCGTGACAGGTTCTCCGCTGAATTGAGCAAATTAGTGAGAGTGGATCTGGTTGCCAAAGTCGACGAGCCAACCGACTGGGTTAGTCAGGTCGCAATCATTACGAAGAAGACGGGCGAACTGCGTGTGTGTATTGACCCAAAACCGTTGAGTGAGGTCTTGCGTAGAGAGCAATATGCGCTACCTACCCTAGAAGACATTTTTCCGCGTTTGGGCAAAATTAAGCGTTTTACGAAGGTAGACCTCTTCGGCGTTCTTGTACGTGGTTCTAGATGATGAATCAAGTTTCCTTACTAACTTTGCAACACCGTTCGGTCTTTGTTGTTGACTGCGTCTACCGTTTGGTTTGAAGGTGTCGAGTGAAATTTTTCAAAAGCGATGAGTGCAAGCGGTAAACGATTTAGATGGTATAACATGCGTGGCAGACGATGTTTTGATCTATGGCTTGGCAGAAGAAGGGCATGACGCTAATCTCCACGGGTTCTTACAACATTGTGTGCATAAGAACATCAAGTCTAAACGTGAAAAATTGAACTTGGGAAAGACGAGGTGCTTTTCCAATGGCATTTGCTAGCAACACAAGGGGTCTGGGTCGATCAAGGAAAAATTAAGGCAATTCAAGAGATGCTGCCTTCTAATCACCTGAAAGGCATCCATCGCTTAAACGGTATGGTGAATTACTTGAGCCGTTTTATGTCAAGACTCGCTGAGATCATGATGCCGATCAGGAAGTTAACTCACAAAGGATTAAAGTGGATTTGGGGAAAAGAACAGGAGACCGTATTCAAAACTATTAAACACTTCACCAGCAACGCGCCTGTATTCGGGTATTACAATCCAGCACAACCTTTGGAGGCACAGTGTGACAGTAGCAAAGACGGAATAGGTGTTGTTCTCTTACAGAATGGGAAACCTTTGGATGAACAATGATTTATAACGGGTAAAAAAGCAGGTGCTTGACATATCCTGTAGGATGTTTAGAGTGAGAAAAGATAGGGCAAGAGATAATGGAATCGTCGGTTTGGGCGATTACAGATTTAACTGCACTGCCGTATAAATGGTTTGAAATTAGGATGTACGCACACAAAGCCATAATGGGGTAGTTTTTAATCAGGTAACAGACGAGAGAAAAAATAAAAAATTAGCAAGCACAAC